GACCTTTTCTGATTTAACACTCAGTCAATCCCTCCCTTTCTCTCCCACTTACTTACTTACGCAGAGTTCAGAGAGTTACTTAAATTTTCAAAAAAGAGGGTGGATTTATAATTCGATCCTGGTAGAAATCCAGTCTCCAATTTTGATTGAGACTGGTTTTTAAGTATTTAAAGATATAAATGGTTTTCAGTGAGAGAAAGTTACTTTTCTTTTTTTTTTTGATAGGAAAGAAGAAAAAAAGATACATGTGAAAGGTAGAGCATTGTAATAATGTGCGATTGGATGAAACCTTAGATGTTTTTAAAGTAGCATTAAAACCACCCCACTACTGAACAGCCACGAACGCGTAACCAATTATATGACAGGCGTTGTCATAATATAGGTCAGACAACGACGTATAGTAAAACGTTCAAGGACGTTTAATGTATTTTACTTTGAACAAACTTCGACCTACATATAAACGTGTTAAATAATACTATTATGAAAATGGTTATTATTTTGAAATTGTAACTAAATAATTTCTATCGTCAAAAAGATTCAATTGTCCTACAAATCGTGAAACAATCATTAAAGTGAATTTTCATCTTTACCAAAATGCTTATGAGAGAAGAGAGTCCGTGTAAACTACTTGGCAACTTTTCCCTAGTTTTAATGTCGTACAATTTTCAACGTACTTGATTGCAAACCCACGAGTGATCTCAATGAATCTAAAAACGTCTACTTGGAAACGTGCTTTTCCGTGATTTTGATGCTGACCGATATTGGTCACCAAAATGAGTTCTCGCATGTGCTTACTGTCCACGATGTGGTCTTATTCGTTGTTAGTCCTTGCGTGTGAAAAAGATTTATGAGAGTCTGCGGATGACGTAAATCACTTAATATATATATATAGTTCACCTACCTTCGGGAATGTTGAGTTATTTATAAACGATAGGTAGGTAAAGCTTGGATATAGGTGACTGTGATTCAAATAATTCTATATAAGCGAGAAATAGAAGAAGAAGATGAAGAAGAAGAAGAAGAAGAAGAAGAAGAAGAAGAAGAGAACTCGAACGATCGATATCTATTCTCTTACAGACAATTAACCTGGATCACTAAAAAGAACACGGTAAAAAAGAAAACAATAAAAATTCAAGTAAATTCATCTAAAAAAAGAAAAAAAGAACAAAAAAAAAATTGAAAACTCAATATTCGAAGTTGAACGTCGATTCTTCAAAGTTCTATTACAAAGTAGCTGGTAACAAGAGTTTACATCCTTTTTTTAAAGAGATAGAAAGAGAAAGAAAGAGAGAGATGAATTTGAAAAGAACGAACTAGCCGAGGTTACAGCAGGGATTTTCTAAGACTTGACCTACTATTGCAGTTTAAAGTGTCGTGCTGACACTTTCCAAGATGGCGTCGTAGAAAGTACGCCCACTCAGCAGTGGAGCCTTACAATGCTTCTAGAGAGCTTTTTGTTCTAGAATAAAGACCATCGTACACCCGGTTTGAGTTATACACACTTCTGTTAGAAGAGACCCCCTTTTGCGCATCACCGTTCAAATATCCTCCTGATTCTTCGACATTCAATGAAACCGTTCTTCAACGTGCTCATTCGAATTAAAAAAAAAGAAAAAAGAAAACTCAAATTAACAATTAAATGCGACTATGATAATAAGATTAACAAAAATTTGGTTAGAAAATATAAATTTACGAGTATTGGGTTGTTTAGAAAGTAATTTCGTTTTTCTTTTGTGAAAATGAAGACAATTTTTGATTCCTAACCTAAAACCTAAGCTTTTCAAGTGGGCATAAACAGTTGAATTGGGTTAATTTAACCTCTCATCAATCTCACATCTTGTTATTTGCCGATTTGGCGGGAACTAATGGCGGGAAAAATGAAATTACTTTCCAAACAAGCCAATATTATCTTACACGTTGACGACAAATGTTTGAATTAAAAAAAAAGGAAAAATTCTAATTCGTAAAAAATTTTTTCTCATCTCCCAACTTTTATCCAGTTCATAAAATTTAATCTCTCTCTCTCTCTCTCTTTTTATTTTTCTTTCTTTCACTATTGTTAGTAACGTACAAAAAGCTCGGCGTTGCGCGGAAAATTATTTGCCACGGTGCGTTGTCACTCAATGAGTACGTCTGCTGGCTTGGTGGTTTCAAAGGATCTGCGAAAAAGAAAGATAGAAAAAAAGAAAGAGAGAGAGAGAGAGAGAGAGAGAGAGAGTAAGCAAAAGGATGAATTAACGAAGACATCGAAACCCCATTACTTTCGTGGTGGTTTCGGTAGATTTTAATTGCGGATAGAATAAGTTGAGTAGGAAGGGATGATATTACAAGTATGGCACGGATCCAACTGCTTTAGATCCAATGGAAAAAAAAAAAAAAATAATAGTCCGTTAACTCGGCAGTCTGTCTGTCCATCCGTCAGATTTCTCTCACGCGCGAGAAAAAAAAAAGAAAAATCACCCACTGCTATTTGTGCTCAGACTCTTGCGAGAAATTTCCTCTTTCCCTGTTCTGTCTGTCAGTCTGTCTGTCTGTCTGTCTGTCTCATTTTCATTCTACTTCGTCGCGGATTTGAGTCTCCACTTGGTAAGAAGAAGTCTTTGAGTTTCAGAGGAAAACAGCAGAAGGGCAACCACCACGACAACGACCAAGACGAAGACGAAGACAACGTACTCGACCAACGGATTGTTATCTCTGGTGCTGTTGTTATTATACCGATCGACCATCCAGATTTTAATTGCGGACAGAAAGAAGAAACCATGAACTCGCGTCGGCTTCCATTAAGTAGAAAAGAACCGTCTTGGCACGGACATTTCCAGGCTCTTGGAAGATAATAATTACGTGATACAATATAGGCGCCGGTCTGCCTTGGGTGTCACCTTTCTCTTCTTCTTCCGTGAACAGAAAGCCAGAGCACTTCCTATAGGGGGACGGGGAAGGAGTAACGAGGAGGATATTGCTGAATAATAAGTTGCTTTTTTTATAATGCCAAACGATACAATGGACGGATATTTTTTAATGAATGAATGTAGAAAAAAAATGCAAATGTTAACGTTAAAACGTGAAATCCGTTAATTCGTTAAATAATTGTGGCGTTGAAAGATAAAAGGGGTAAAATTTTGAGGAATAATTTTAATTCATTAGTTATTTCATTAACCCTTAGAATGCTATGGACGCATATATGCGTTTAGTAATATTAATGTAAAATAATGTAATGTTTATATTAATTAATTAAATTATATTCAGAAACAAATACTTTAATTTTTAATTATAATTACTTATAAATAATATATATATATATATATATATATATATATATTATATTAACTAAATTATAATAATAAATTATTCCGTTCTTATAAAATATTTTAGTTAAAAGTTTACAGCACTCAAAGGGTTAAAAATATCACACATAATTTAAAAATATATAATAAAATTATTGTCATATTAAATTTAAATTTATAGCAAATTAATTAAACTTTAACACTTTAACGTTAACACAATCATGAAATACCTATTGTTGTTAGAATTAAACAAAACAAAAGTATCCTATCTCATAATTTTGAATTATTTTTATCAAAAGTATGATAAGAAAACGTTAGGACCAATATGCATGTATGATATTGGCCCTAATGTTTTTTTCGCAATCGTTCTTAACGCAAGTTGCTTTGTTCTACGAACTCTTCTCTTCTCTTCTCGAGGCCGGTGAAGTTCGTTTGAAGTCTCAGCTACCGGAAGGTTGAAAGAATCCGTGATTTTGTGCTGGGTATTTCTCCCCTTTTTTCCTCAACGTATAGTCACCCACAACGAAACCCTACGACGACGACGACGACCATGCCAACTACGACGTCAATCTCTACGACGTCAACGACGACGACGACGACGACGACGACGACGAAGGAGAGCCTTGGCGATGGGGCACCCTTGCCCTTGACTGTAGGCGCGAGAATGCTTGTCTGAGGGTTGCCTGGACTCCCAGACAGACTGTGTAGACGCAAAAAGGAAAAGTAAGAGAGGAAGGGAAAAGCACCGACGAGACGTCGTGTATCGTCCTACAACCAACCAACCAACCAACCAACCAACCAACCAACCAACCAACCAACCAACCAACCAACCAACCAACCAACCACCCTCCTCCTCCGGTTACTCCTCTTCTCTGTATCTTTCATTGCTTCTATGCCCAAGCAGAACGTCTATGTATAAGTAGTCACATAGAATCGTTGTTCATGGGTGTCCGGGAGTCTGCTCGAGTGGTGGAGGGTGTCGAGAGGACCCCGACGGAAGTTTAAAGTGCTCCTCCGACTTGTTCGTTGGCTCGCTCTAACACGCATAGTTAACTGGCTCGTGCAAACCTGTTCTATGCAAGAGTTTTGCATGTCATAGATTTTCTCCAAGAAATAATAATCCTTTCCTTTCATCTTTCTCTTCGTTTTACCATCATTAGAATTATCCAATAATCGTTCAAGTGTGAAACATTAGACTCATTGTAAATTTACCAATGCTACAACTAACAAAATTGACCACCAAAGTGATCAGGAAAACATCAAACACTTACAGTAACAAACCTAACTTCTTCGAACGTTGTTGCTAACAACTATCGGACCAACACATATCGTTCGCGTGTAACACGAGCTTCTACCACTCGTGAGAATCCTTTTAAGAAGCTTCAGGGTACATCTACGTAAGTTAAGTGAGAAATCGCTTGAAGCAATCCAACAAAGAAAGAAAGTAAGATAGTAGTGAATTGTAGAATAATGGTTGAGCTCACGCGTTTCTGGCAAACCCTTCATCGAATTCTTAATGCATACCAAAGCGTGTACGAGCCAACGAACGAGTGGATTCTAACCGTACAGCAAGAATTCGAGAGGATTCTTCGCATTCCAATATTGGGATTCCCCAGCATTTATACCTCTGGTGTGATAGATCACACTTTGTACGATTAATCGATATATTCCTGATTTTTTTCTTTTTTTAGAAAATTTTCTATTAGGACAACTCACCTTTCAGATGTTCAGGTGTATCCGCAGCACCAGCTCGCATGATGTCGTTCAGGTAATGTTCCAATGTTCGCATACTGTCCAACGGTGAATTTCCATTGGCCGTCATGCGATCCTGAAAACAATTCGTTCAAAATAAATAAATATTCTTGTATTATTTTTTGTCTTATCAACCTAGACGAAAAATAAAATGAACGTTAAATGAAAAAAAGAAAAAGATGATCCACCATAAAACCACTTTTCATCGCAAAAGATCGCGATGCTTCTTAGGAAGCAGCAGCAAGCTCGTATAAGTTAGCCCACACTTTGCTAGCCAGAAGGGGCACCCCCTGAAATCTCGGTCCTTTCATAGCACTCGCTATTATCCTTAATCGAAATGAGCTCCTCTGGTCAAGAAAAGACTTTTAGAGTCGGCCGAGCGAACAGACAGAATGGCCGTCTCGCAGACAGCAGAGGAAAGAAACAGAAAAGACGAGAAAAGAAAGAAAGGAAGGAAGAAAGTTAAAAAAAAGTAAAAAGAAAAAAGAAAGCTAGCCGACGGTAGCAGTGATGGTGGTGGTGATGGTGATGGTGGCGGCAAAAGTAACCTGAAAGAAGACAGAGCCCAAGCGCAAGGTGAAACAGAAAGAAGGGTGTAGAATGTGAAAAAAGAGAGAAAAAAAAAAGAAAAAGAGTCCGTAATAGACCACTTTCGACGAAGCGGAGTGCAGTTAATGCAAGGAACCATTGAAAAGTCTCTTTCTCTCTTCATCTCTCTTTATTCTACACCCAAGTCTTTCCCTTTTCCTTTATTCACGAAACACGTCACCACTGTTTTTACTGATACAACTTAACTAGACGATATACAAACGATAATTATGATCAAAGTACGCGATACAGTTTTTAAACAAATTTTAATATTTATTTATGAATTCTAATTTATTTTTACATCTGATTAATTCAATGTTGTTCTATTGGGTTGGCAACTAAGTCATTGCTGATTTTATAAAGTCACCTATCGATAAAGTTTGCAATTATTTACTTGCCAAGCCAATATTTTCATAAATTGTAAAAAAAGATCTCATTTGAACATAAACCAATAAGTTTTTGCAATATTAAAATTGTTACATTCACTTACAAAAGTGCTTGAAACGTGTCGTCTAAGGAGAGGTAACAATAAACCCTAAAACAATGAGAACAACAACTAAATACAGGGCAATACGTGTAAAACCTTTTGAGAGATTAAAACGTAGAAAAAAAAAGTATTCGAAAAGCACTTTGGGTATTCACACACAAGCATCTTCAATACTGTTTCAACGATTCGGCATCGAGAAGAAAGGGGTGATCGTGTTCTCGGTACTTTTAGCGGTTCCTAAAGTACCACTCCTTTCGTCGGAAGTTCGCCACCCGCTTCTCCTCACCCTATCCTCTTTGCACAGTCGCGTCGTGAAAAAAAAAAGAGAGAAAGAGAGAGGGTTTTACGAGTTATAAGCACAAGCAGGAGCTTGCTAAACGAGCTATCCAAAAAATGCTTGCCCGTATTCTTTGACACTGACCAATTGAAAGAAAAAAAAAAAAGGAACAAAAGATAAAAGCAAATAAGAGCGTGTATGATGGGATGATAAAAAAAGAAATAATACTCCTTGACATATAAAAATATCGCAGCTGTGTTTACTTCTTCCTATCATTCCGGTTCTTCTATTTTCCTCATCGTGTTGAACCGTCCGCCTGTCTGAGCATAAATGATTTTACTACTTCGTCTTGGTGATCTTCCTACATATATACAAGGTATGTACAGTTTAAGTAGTAAATATCACGTCTGTTGAATATCATTGAAATAACGATCGTATTTCAAAAGGATTTTCGTCATAATATTTGGATGCTTCAAACATGATTGATATAGATCATAGAAAATATTTCATTTCATTTGTTTTGACACTTCAAAGAATTCGTACGTTTCTTTTTGTGCAAAATGACCGTGACATTTACTTGGTCAGCAGCAATGGGGGTAGGTCAATAGAAGAAGAAGAAGAAGAAGAAAAAAGAAAAGTCATAGAGGGAAGTACAACAATATGGTAAATTGGATTATTTACCGGAAGAAACGGGCACGAAAAATAGAAAGCACATTCCTGAAGAAGGTTCGACGTCAAATAATCGGCCCATCTCTCTTCAGTGAATACGGGCGGAGGTGCAAAAGGTGGGGCCACCTTTTCCACCGACTCTTTTCTCGTCGTCTCTTTCGTGCTACCTGCAACCCCCAGACCCAACACGCTTATTCCATCCCTTCTCTCTTTTTCTCTAACACACACATATATACCAATACCCGAAGCTTTTCTAACTTCTACCCTCTCCTTTTCTCGCTTTCTACCACTGAACGAACCCTCTTATTCCCTACTCCTAGAACCAAGTATATCCCTACCCTTAGCGAATCACTCCCCACTTCTTCTTTCCAGTAAAGCCACGGATGTTCTAGCTCGGTTCAACCCACTTCCCCTTCTTCCTTCCTACTGAAAGTATGCATACAAGCACGCGCGCACGTGTGTACACACAACTCTAATACCTACCCACTCATCAAGGAGAACTCTCACACGCAGCCGATTGCGCTCGCGCGTTCATTCGTGCGTATTATCCGTCTCTATCAAACTCAGAGCGCACACCGTGTAGCGCTTATTCTCTCATACCCTTGCACAGCACCGTGGAAAATCAATATAGGGAAACCAGGAAGCAGAAGCAGCAGCAGCAGCAGAAGCAGCAGTAGCAGTAGCAGCTGCAGTTGCAGCAGCAGCAGCAGTAGCAGCAGGGCGTCGACAGCAATCTCTGTGCAGCCTCCAACCCAGTACCGCCCTTCCTCTCTCCCCACTACTCTAGTAGCTAGTCTGACCGCTCCACCCCTTATTTTACCACCCCTATCAAAATATCTCGGTCCTTCTCTCTGTTTCTTCTACCCCTTCCTATCATCCGTTCGTTTATCTCTATTTCATGTTTATCCATGACCACCAGATTCGTTCCCACGAATACTATCGGCACATTTTCTTCTGCCCCACTTTTTTTTTTTGCTTCTTCTTCCTCCATATCCTTCCGTATATCTTTTTGCGTTTGATTTTCTTCTTTTTTTCTTTCTCCCTTTTGCTCGTCCAACCGACAATCTCCTTCCTTCTTATTTAGTTTTCCTATATTATGCATTCAAGTACAAAAGATAGGAGGGAATAATTTCAATTTACTACCCTTATCGACCGTCGTCCTACTATTTTGGGGCCAACGCCAGTGCTGCGTTGCAAGTGCTGCCCTCTTTTCTCGTTTGTTTATACGCGGTATAAAGGTCAGAAGTTGTTCCACTTACACGAGCCATACCATTGGCTTCTTGTTGCTTCACCCATCCTTCTATTTCCCCCTCTTCTCATTCCTTTTCTCTCATTTTTTTTTCTTTTTCTTTTTTTATTCTCATTACTTCCAACCCTTCACATTCTGTTTGTAGTATGTCATTAAATGAAATCTCGTGCACAAACATATTCTTCATTACGTGTTACATATTAATAAATATATATCCAATATATATATATATATATATATATATATATATATATATATATATTATCGATTTCTCAATATCAATTGCTAGTCATGAACCTTGACCAACAACTCTTGACCACTGTTGATTACCATCAACCACAATCACCAACACACTATCATCAAAGTCAATACTATTACCACTTCTACTACCACAACTTTAAATAGATGACCGCTCTTCTAACACTGGAGTCATCCTATGCGCAAAAATTTCATACCACAATAAGAAGAATGCAAGAAAAAATAAAATATCAACACATATAACTAGAAATTGGGTGATATGGTTGGAGTAACGAAGAAAAACACACTTCAGACTCGTACACTCGTACTTACGCGGCCCCGTGCACCACTTACTCCCTTCTCACATTTTTAATTGAAAAGAAAAAGAAGAAATGAGAAAACCAAAAAAAAAAAGAAAAAAACAAGAAACTGACTAGACAGATGTATAGCGCAAAAATGCATTTCACGAGTTAACGAACTGCTGAAAAAGATTTTTTTTTTTCCCAAGATCTAGACTCTTCTAATTCGACGACTTGCGTCGTAATTACGTGGAAGGAAGCAGTTTCAAGGGGCCCAAGACTAGGGGGTGTCGCAAAGAGAAGACAAGAGTAGTTACAGAGAACTTTCTTTCTCTCTCTCTCTCTCTCTCTCTCTCTCTCTCTCTCTCTCTCTTATACTTCCACTTCCACTTTCACATCTTCGTCGGTCTAGACATGGTTGTTCTTGTGTGTCGTCTATCTTCTCTCCCTTGTTCTACATACGTTTTTGTACTTGACGTTTTTGTCCTCTATTTTTTTTTCTCACACCATGTCTCGTCTGACGCACAATCTAGCATACACATATCTATTACATACATATATATAATATATATATACAGACACCTGTGAGGAACACAAGTCTACCTCTCCAAAGCCCAACCATATCTCAGAATAGAGAATGCTCACAAGCACGCACGCACGCAAGCAAGCATGCATGCATACATGTATTCACGCGCCCAAACACGTAAGCGTATTGAACTTGCACGAGGTGCTAGTAGGTGCTTCACAAGGTGTGCGCGCTTTCACCGCGACTCCCATGATACGTCCATTAGACTCCGTACAGGAACAATAATTATTATGTTGGAGGGAATACTACTCTAGTGGCGTCAAGGGTGAACACGTATATGTGTAGAGAGATAGAGAGAGAGGACTAAAGTTGTATGAGTGAAGAACGAAAAGAAATAAACAAAACGAAATGGTGAAACTGAAAAGAAGAGTATTCTGAAGAGTCACCGACGATACTCTGGAAGACCTTTTAACTTTTATATTGTGCATAGGCAACTTACTTCCTATTCGTATTTCCTTTCAACTATTAGCATAAGCTCACATTAAGGTTACATACCATATGTGATTATATCAAATAATTGTGTCTCAACTTTTATACTTTGAACATAAAAAAACCCTACATCAATCGTATGAATATATTTAGATAAAGATAAAAGTGTATTGAGAAAAAGAGGAAGAAAGTTGTAGAATATATATTTTGTTGTTTTTATCGGATCGAAAACGAAGAAGAAGAAGAAGAAGAAGA